AGAAAAGCCCTTGACAGGAATGAGGAGGCTGAGAAAAACTTTGGAGGAAATTCACACTACCTGTTCCAGAGACCTTAAAACACTATTGAACTAGTAGCCTCCTTTATTCTTGGAAAGAGCAATCTAGGGCTCCTGAAAAGAATGCAGCGTCTAGAAACTGCAGAGTTCATCTCCTAAAATTGCCTGTCTTTTCCCCCCCTCTCCCCAAAAACAGGTCTGGGACCAATCTTCAGTATAAGCTACACAAGCCACCCTCGACCTTGAACTGCAGGAAGAACCAAGGAAATGTACTGAGCCAACGCACCTTCTGACTGGGCTGTCCAGCAACCCAACCCAATCGCCATTGGGCCCAAGACAGATTGGGCAACAGGATCCAAATCCATCAGGACTTGAGTTGCTTGCAAGGACTGTCTGCATCTCGGTTTATTTTCCTGCAGCTTCCTGCAGTTGGGTTCTCCTCTCTCCCCGCACCCCCTCTTTTTGGGCACTTTGTACTACCGTTGCTCTTTCAGGCAGTTCATGAACTTTTTATACTTCGCTTTTAGCCTTTTACCAGCCCCATCAAGGAAGTTGGACGGGATGAGGATCTTATCCCAAGTCTGAAAAGTGGCTATCTGCATTTAGGAAAGATGCTGGAATTCTGAGAAGGCCTTGTGACCAGCACAGGTCATAGCAATTGTGTCTTGGTACCCAGCATCATTGGCTTCTGCTGAAGAGCTTTAGAGAAATCCTGATCAATTTTGTTCATCTGCTGCTTCCAAAGCCTTTTGGAATTTTAGTATTCCCAGAAAAGTCGCCCTAAGTGCAGCTCTGTGGTCAGCTGGGTTATGGGGAAGGGAATGCCCTGTTTTAGCTATATCCCCAAACATCCCTTGATCACATGGAAGTGGTCACACTCCAATCCCTTCTCCCACTGTATTAAAGCAGTACAGAGGCTTAAGACCTCCCCTACCCAGGTTTTCTGCATGGCAGCTCCCTGCATGCTTACTGCAACACCACCATCCTGGCTGCGATCTCCTTTTCAGTTGCTTCGCTAGATATTGTATCTTGTACCTCCCGTGTTAACGAAACTGAAGCCTTTATAGATTATGCTGCAACAATAACCATCATTGTTTACTGGGGAAAGTGGCACTGAAGGAGAGCGACTGAGCTTACAGTTCTTGATCACATGACAGAACTTTACGAGGCATGACGACATTTCCATCCCCAGCCAGCGCTAGACAGGATCCTGTTTGCAAACAGTATAGTACTGGATATTGGCCAAAGCAAAGCTATGCCACCTTGCTCCAGTGGCACAACCAGCGCTCAACCATTCTTAATAAGAAACCACTCTTAAAACATGAGCAAGAGCAGTGGGGAAAAAACCCCTCACACTGTGCTGAAAAGCAAAAAAACCTTTCACGGTGTGGCCATGCCTTTTTATACACTGTAAAGAATCGCCCTCTCTGGTAGTAGAGGACATAGGCAACTTAATAGCTTGGCAAATTCCAAACATCTCTCCATCCTTCTGCCGATTGCAAGACCTTTGCTGCTTCTTGCTCTTGGGTGTTGAGCGCACCAAGCCAAATTTACTTCCAAGTTAGGCTTTGGCCATTTAAATTTGCTTTAGCCACATTTCTCTCCAAGTTGGCAAGAGCAAGCCAGCCCTTCTCTTCTGCTTGTTCCTTTTTGCCAGCTGGTGCTGCCCTACTGGAGAGACGCCTAAATCTCCTCTGCTTTCATCAGTGCCCTTCTGGAGGGTCTTGTGGATAACAGGGTCTGGTCTGTTGCGTTATCGGGCTATTTTATACCAGATGGTTTGTCAGGAAACATGCTGAGATTTCTGCCTCCGGGTCTGGGTGTCCTGAAAGGTATTTAGGTCTTTGCATCTCATGGAAAAGTCCCTCGTGACCTGAAAACTCGGCTTGTCGAGTCCTGAGAGTGTATATCTTGTGTCTTGTTTGTGAAATGCTTCCTGCTATAGAATAGCTCAAAGGACTGTACATATTTACAAGAAACTTTATATTCGTAAAAAAAAAAAAAAGAAATCGAATCAGTTTCTACTTTTTTATTGTAAAGTGTGCATTTTTTTCAAAGCGCTAGCCCTTTGTTTTAATTGTGGTTGCGGAAAGGCATCTTCACGCACTGAAGGGGCCTTGTCCTAGTCCTCCACAATCCCATCAAGAAATATTGTAACATTTTAAATTTGCAAGCAGACGCTTGTTAGCATTAAATGAGGTCTTAGGCATTATTAAGAGTACAGGATTTGTCTTCATTACTTTTTATTGCAGACAAGGCAAAAGAAACAGGAATAATTCACAGTCCTCCTGGAAAGTATTGAACTTGTTGTTGACAAATAACCAAATAAAAAATTAATTCACTTTACTGACCTGCACGGTGCAGTGACCTTTTCCTTCACTCTCAGTTGCCAGACGTTACTCTGTGTGGGCTCTGCTTCAGCTGTTGTCATCTGAAGGCATATGGATGAACTAACCATCAAAACAGCCTCCCCCTTAAATGCAGAACAAAGAGCTGTACTGTCTTCTAAAATGCAGCCGCAGTAACTGCAAAACTTCACTCTTCTCCTCTGATCCAGTCAGTCACCTGTGTTTGAAATGCTGAGCAACTTAGCAGTCTCACTGGCAAAGGTTGACTCAAACAGCACTGTCCAAGAATTACAGAAGGACCCGTTTATTACCTCACCCTTTTCACACCTGAGGCTGTAGAACCCTAAAGCGGCTACTTTTTAAAAACTTAATGCTACTACAATTTAGGCTGGACATCTCAAAATGAGTAACCCTCAGACTACAGTGTAAGTACTTAAATTTTTAAACCCAGCTAGTTTTATACAGGGTTTGAAATATTCTTCTGCTGGGCTGGCTTTGTGTGTATATTACAAACTAGCAGTTTACAGGAGCTCAAGTGTAGCTCCTGCTGCATCCAAACTTCTCTCAAGATGCTTTGGGCAGATTGCCAGGAAGCTAACCCCTCCCTCCCCTCCACATATAGCTGCTCACTGATGCTCTGCATAAAAAGTGCTTTGATTTCTGTTGTGCCTAATCTTGAATGTATAAATGAACTGCAAGCTTGTTTACAAATGTTCCTTTATTTTTCTTTTTAATGTGCACAAAAATATACTACTTTAAGATTCATTGCTTCAGTCCTGTGCATGAGAGTTTATAACAAATTACTCGGAAACCAGATGAGTAAACAAAATAAGCATTCACTTCTCCTCCTCACCACCAAGTTCCCAAAGCTTACACCCTTGAGTGTACCAAAATATATTTTGAAAACAGCGGCATAAGGATGGAATGAGCAGGGCTGCGTGTACTCGGCTGAAAAAGAATTATAACTCTGCACTCTTTATCGATTATGCGAAGATGTGCATACCTCTACAGGTTTATCATTTTGTTTTTGTTGGGAGTGAGACGGGACAATATTCAACGCTAGATCTTAAATTTTATTCAGCTGTCCCTTTGGTTTCTGAATCTTCATCAGATAAGGCTCATAGAATGTCAAGCTTACCTTTGCATTTTTAAGAATTAGAAACTTGCCCTTTTTGTCTTTAAATGAAAGCTTAATTGTCATGGAGGAAACTAAGGCTATCCCCCTTCTCCCAGTCTAATTTATTTAAAATATACCTTGCTCCTCCCAGCCAAGGTTCTTGAGAAAATATATAATTCCTTCATTAAGGAGTACAAATAATAAAATAAAAGCAGTAAAAATAGTAAGGTAAAGGTTTCCCTTGCTCAAAAGCCAGTCGAATCCGACTCTAGGAGGTGGTGCTCATCTCCGTTTCCAAGCCGAAGAGCCAGTGCTGTCCAAAGAGATTTCCATGGTCATGTGGCCGGCATGACTAAACGCCAAGGTGCATGGAACGCTGTTACCCTCCCACCAAAGCGGTACCTATTTATCTACTTGCAATTTCTTGCTTTCGAACTGCTAGGTTGGCAGGAGCTGGGACCAGAGACGGGAGCTCACTGTCATGCGGCACACTCGGGTCTCGAACTGCTGAGCTACTGACCTTCCAGTCTGCAGCTAAGCATCTTAACCACTGAGCCACCGCAGCTCCCTAGTAAAAATAGACTACTGTTTATGGGTCACAGATAGTAACTTTGCTAATGCTGCTTTTATCTTTTTATTCACACCATGAAATAAGCACACTGCTGAAAGGTCGGGGAGAACACCTTTAGTTGTGCCATCTCTACAATTACTAAGATTGGGGCACACAGTGGGGCCTGTGTCAGAAGGTGCAACTGCCCCCCTTCGTGTTTTATGGCTCCTATGCCAACCTCCAGTGTAGTAGGGAAATCAGTAAGTAGCTTCATATGGGAGCACATGAAACTTAAGATATCCCAGTGCCACACTGTTTATGGCTGTAAGGAGAAGGCAAAGCTCTTTGACCTATACCTGGAACTAAATTTGTAGCCTGCGATGTGTGCAAAATAATCTCTACCTGCCAGGTACCTCTCAGCCATGTTCTGAACCAAATGAAGAATACTATAGTCAACCATCTTGAGAGATCTAGGGAAATCAACAGAGGTGTGCTCTGCCATGGGGTATGTCCTCAGTTGGTCCTCCCCCTAGTGCAGCATCCTGTTTCACATAATGGCCAATCAGTGGCCCAGCAGGAAATATAGGAGGCAAAGCCAAAGCAGAGGGATTAAGTGTTACCTCTGAATTGGTGCTCTGTACTTACAGGGATTTTTATTCCTCAGAATACTAGTGTGGTTTATCTCCCCCCCTCCCCCCGGTTTGGCAGGGGAGTTAGTAGTTTACAACAAGCATATATAAAGACGGGTGTGTGGGGATTTTTTGCATCAGATAGACACCCAGCTATAGTCTTTTTGCTTCCCGAATGAAATCATGAGACTACTGTTATACTTATCCTTCATCTTTTTATACTTCTCCCCCTGACACTCCCTCATCTTCAACCAGTAGCCAAGAACACCTTCCAGCGACTGTTTCTCTGTATCTCTTTTAAGAGGTGTGAAGTTTCCTCAGCAGTGCTTCTACCCCCCCCCCCAGCTTTCATACAACAACAGGGTGTGGAAGGAACAGGTTATAAGTGTAGTTTGATGGGAGGGGGGCAGATCCTAATTTGAACACCTCTGAGATATATGGGTGCAAATTAACATTAGTCATTCATACCACAAATGCTTTTATTGTTAACAATTCTGGAAAGGACTAATACTACAACAGAGAACAAGGGTGGACGTGAAATACGGTTCCCCACAGCAACGTGGGAGCGTGTATACGTAGCCATAGACCCATTAAAGCAAAACACATCTGCCCAGGATCAGAGGGCTGCTACAGAATTATGACGCCACACGGGCTCACTTGGCTAAAAGGCACAAGCCGGCTCCTTAGCAGGCTTGGGAGTGTCTGCATCTTGAGCCCCCGGCACATTCACTCACTGGCATTAGAAAAGAGGCAGGCCGTTTTCTCTCTCTTTTTCACTTCTGGCTGGGGTGGTCCTTTGAGCAGTTAGTTCTCTGCCAAGTACTGCAGCAAATGAAATCAGCCATTTTTAGGGGAGAGATCCTCCCCCTGGAGTACAGTAGCACCCTCTCTGCAGGTGGCAGTCTTTGGGAAAGAGATGGACTGTGTTTCTTGTCACACAGAATGGCTTGGGAAACACATGCATGATTAATAGCCCAAGTGGAAGCGGGGGAGGGCTTGTAGAGAGCTAGGGGGGTTGGTCCCAGACCTCTGCAGTAACTTGGACCCCTTCCAGCTGACATGATAAGTGCTGCTATTAGAAAATCAGACCCACCAATTTAGAGCTGTCAGCTCTGTTACGATAAATTATAAGATTAATCGGTTGCCTCACAGTACTTCCTGGAAAACATAACAGAAGCCCACGGTCTCTGCCAGCACTTTGAAGCTTGGCAAAGATTTGGAGAAGAAAGGCTATGATCTGGGGGACAGGGAAGAACAAGTGAATGCATCTGAGTTTGACCCAAAGAACTTTAACAGAAAGGGCTTCTCTCATGCACCTACTGAAGAATGAACCAGTGGAAGTGCTTTTGGGACTTCAGCACTCATGAGTAAGGTACACAAATTACCATCCCTTAAAACTGGCAGAGCTGTTCTGAGTGTGCTAATGAAGGGCTCCCCCACCGCCAATGCTCTAAACGAAATGTTCTCAGCAGCTTGTGCATATTTTTTTTCTTTGAAAAACAAGCAATCGGGGACTGGTCCATTTTTTAAATTCCACTGGCGGGTCAGCAGTGGGCCTGTGTGTTGATTAGAAGAACGTCCACAGCAGGAAGGAGAGAGCAAGGCAGCTATGCAATAGATCTGGACTTTAAAAAAAATGGTATGACTTGAGAGCAAGTCTGCTACTGCTTCACCAAAGTGGATGGTCTTTGGGTTTGATTGTTTTTTGGTTTGTTCCCTCTGCTACTCCACAGACTAGGCAGCCTGGGTACTAGTTCATATGGGCTTATACAGCAAAGTAGTCACGTATTTCTTCTTGTAACGGTGGGTGGCACTGAGCACCATCACCCCATCCTAGAGAAATGAGAGACATGTATGAATACAGATTGGAATGTCTAGTGAGAGACAGCTGGCCAGACTGAACCCCCCCCTTTACCTTGATGGACAGTGCATACAGGTGATTCAACATGACATGGTTAGGCTCCGGAAGCAGAGCAGGATCACACTAAAGAGGAGGACAGAGCAGATGGCCACTATTCACACACACAAAACCTTTATTGGCATGAAAGCACAAAAAATCATGGAAATACAGGAAAATACTAAGAAGCATCAGTCACTTGCACTTGGCTAGGGAAGCCTCGTCTTCTGATTGCATAATATAAAAATTTTGCAACAGCCTCCATTATTTTGCGATTAGAATTAAACAGAAGAAAGTGAACAATTGAGTCATCAGAGTGCCAGCTCTTACCCTCTAGAAATGGAGTAATAAAACGAGATTGGATATCCCTATAGAGAGGGCAATGAAGTACGGTATGTGTAGTGGATTCTATATCTTTTAGAGAGTGAGGGTGGCCACTATTCAGAAACTGAATGCCAGAAGAACCATCAAATCCGCAGGGGGAACCCCTTGAGCTTCTGCCAGAGACATATTTGTATGGATTTCTAACATTCATGGTCGCAGCAAAAGCTTTCAGGCCTTCTCACAATATGCTGCTGCCTTTATTTTCGTGTTGGGAATTCCACATCAAAATATGCTGCCCTTTCTCTGACATGGTGAGTTTAAATTGGGAAGGAGGGGTGCTCTCCAAAGAAGAGATGCCCCACAACCATCCATGAGACTACTATACCTGCTTAACCACCAAGGGCCCACGGTCTAAAGAACACACCTCTCTACTCACCGATATGCCCGTGTCTTTGTTTAGGATAACCTGCAGCAGATGTGGAGGAAGAATAGGGGGAGACTTGAAGCGCTCCTCTGGCTTACAAATATAGGGATCCTGGTGATAGGGCCCGGGAGGGGAACTTGACAGCTCTGCACCAAAGAGAGGCAACAGGTTAACCTCTGATTATTTGTCAGCTTATTATAAACAATAATCCATTTCACTGCAGTAGTCTGATGCAGCAGCACAAAACAGGGTGTCCAACATTGACAGTTGTGGTTGGTAGTTTGCTTTTTAACTAGAAATTTTTGCCCAGGTCAAGTCCAGAACCCTCTAACTGGAACAGATGAAAAAAATTGGCAATTATTCCCAAAGGGCATCTTTTGCTTGTCTGGGGTAAGGCACAACGTAATGTCTCCGGTCATGGCACAAGTCCAGTAAAGCTGAAAAGGTAGCATCAGCACTGGCAACTGCACCCAAGTCTGGCACCATGACAGCTGACTGACATTTGACACTCTCAGCCACTGGGGCCGTTCCTGTTTAGAACCCGCAGACTGGGGAGGCATATGGGAGTATGCCAAGGGATGCCCCATCCCCTCTTTGAGTTGTGAGAAGTCAGAAAAAAGAGCCCCTTTGCTCCACTGCCATCTATCTCTGTTTGCAAGTCTGCCTCTCGATTCCTGTGTATGGTTCCTTAATCCTCTGGAGAGAAGCCATCAGCCTTGCCATTTCTTACTCACCTACAGCAAGCAAATAAAGCCTGCCCAGAGCTCCCACCACAAATTACCCCGTCCTGGCAGTCACTTGGCAAACACAGAATGAGCCTCAGGCTTCGCCCTCTTCTACCAGAGAGAATGTGGGATCACTAGTCCTGCTGCATTCCCTTGGTCAGATAAAGTGGCTGCTGTTCCTACGGCGCTTGTAAAAGGAGGAGGAGGAAGGAGCCAAGCAACTGAAGCACAGAGGGGGTACCTGGCTACTCAATATTTATTTGCAAATCTTGCATACGTGACATCCAGAAAGCAAAAAAAATTATTTCCTGGGCTGGCATTTGGAAAGGCAACAAGGAGAGGCCCTTTCCTGCAACTTGCTCTATGTGAGAAGTCTCAAGCAGTGTGTACAGCCACACTGTCAACCCTGCATGCAGAATGACCCCACTGATAGAAAAACTACTTCCATGTGGGAGAATGCAATTCCTCAAGTGGCAGGGTTAGCTGCCAAATCTTAGAACAAGGGTAGGCAGGGCTGGTTTGCTTAGCACCCAGGTCTGGTTTTATGCCCGAGCAGCTGAGATGAGCAGCCGAGGGGCTGGCAACGCTCCTGTGGCTGGCATGAGAGAAGGCGACGGGCATATTTTATGTCCATTGTCTCCTGGACCTGTACAGCCACCAGCTGGGTACAATATAAGCCCCTGAGATGCTGGGCCTCGATGGCTCCCAACATGCCTGGCCCTTGTCAAATGTAACACTTGTCTCTCCCCAATTTTGTCTGCCAGCTCACCAACAACTTCACAAACTGACACTGCTTTTTGTAGTGGTGGTGGTGGAGCACTTGGGCCAAAAAAGGTTACCTACCCTGCCCTAGAGCATAGCAGACATGATGCCCTCATCCAGGGAAATTAAAAAGCATGAAACTAAGATTCAAAAACATACACTAGAGTTTTGCAGATACATTTCGAAAAATTAGATATATTCCTACCAGACATGTCAGAGCACTTTTGGGAGTCCACCAGTAAAGCATCAAATACTTCAAAATCTGTTTTCTTCACCTGAATAACATTGTTGAGAGTCCCCAGCTGGCTAGTTACTACAGGCTAGGAAGAAGCAGATGAGCAGGCGTTAGGACAAAAGAACCACCACCACAGTCCAACTCACTGTGGAACTCAACTGTCCTGGCACAGGCTTTGGGTTTTTTTTAATGTTTATTTAGCCTTGGGGCCTGCCTGGCCAGGAGATGTAGGAGGGATTCAAAACAAGATCCAGTTCCCAGGCTGTGACCAACCGCAAATATCCCAGGGGTTTGGAACAGAAAGAGGAGCTAAAGTAATGTCAGTTATTAAGACCTGCCATGAAAGTGACTTTATGATGTGGCACCACGTGATGGCTGGCACAAGCCATCTTTAGATCTACCTAGAACTTTCATGCCACACAAAGGGCTGGCTCTACTGATTCACAAGCAGAACACTTTGCATAGAAAGGAATTTTTGGATCTCCTTCCTCATACTGTAGTACATTACATCCCCCAAAACATGGGCCCTGGGGATTCCTAGGAAGATCTCTATGCATGATGCAGGGGTCTGCAGTGAGACGGGATTAGCAAGAATTACACCCCCTCCCCTATCCTCAGAGAAGTACCCTTGCCCCACAAGAAAATGACAAGTGGATCCAGCTGGATGCTCTTCCATGGAGGCAGTTCACACATCCATCCTACAATATTGTGAGTGATGTTCATGCATGTGGGAACCAGGCCTTAATAAACTCCATGCAGGACTACTGAGTAAGAGAATATTACCTCTGAAGGATCATGTGTCCACTGACCATCCACATAGAATTTGTATTGGTGTTCACCTTCTGGGAGGTCTAGGATGGCTACAAAATTATTGTGGCTGTGATATAAAGGCAAAGAATACAATTAATCCTATTTAAAAAGAGGATCAGCTGCAGGAACTGAGCACAGCACAGCACACAGTATAAAGGCAAGGAAATGGTCACATTCTGCATCCAACATCACATTTTGTGCATTTCCTACTCTTTGAAGAACTGTGGTATACTGATTACACTAACAGGATGTCTTCAAAGCAACTGACCCCGCCAGGGAGGTACATCAGGGAATCACAGACACAGCCTCAAAGAGGCTTACCTCCGTGTAAGTGGAAGTTTGTTCCAGTTGTTAAATGAGCCTGATAAGTACACCTCTTTGCCTCCTCCAGTCCAGCGGAAGACAGTCGGCCGGGCCTGAGTGGGAGCTTTATCGTTCACTTCCACATCATGCTGCCAAGCCAGGAATTCATCTTTTTCCAGGGGAGCCTGAAAGCAACAGACTTTCTTCAATGGTAATCTCCCTTATAAATAACAGCCGAATGGTGGTGGCACTTCTCTAGAACATTCCACACGCTCCAAAATCAGTTCGCTCTCTGATCTGTCATTCAGAGGGTCTCCCTATCCACTGGCTGCTTTGCCTGAGTCCTGCCTCCAACATTTTGCTAATCCTCTCCCCCCCATAGCCAGTCAGAACACAGAGGTTATTTGCATATGCAGCCTCATTGACCTTTGCCTCGGAGCACAGAGGTCATTTGCATATGCGACTTGATTGGCTTTTGCCTCTAACATTCTAAACAGTTTGCTCTTCTAAGGTAAAATGTGTCCAATCTCCAGGTGAGGGCTGGAGATCACTCAGAATTACAACTGCTTTCCAGATGCCAGAGATCAGTTCCCCTGGAGGAAATGGTGGGCTCTGTATCCTTATATGCTGCTGAGGTGGCCCCCGTATGACAGCCAATGTGACGTAGCAGTCAGGGCTTCAGAGCATGGGAGAGGCTGCAGGAGTGTGGGGGGTGGAAAGCTGAAGAGTGAGGGGGAAATAAAGGTAGGTTGATGATTGGTTGGGAAGGAGAAAGGGTTGCCAACTCCAGGTGGGAAATTCCTAGAGATGTGAGGGATGGAGCCTGGAGAGGATGAGGTTTCAGGAGGTGTGGGACCTCGGACAGGTACAAAGCCATAGACTTGACCCTCCAAACCAACTATTCCCTTCTGGGGAACCATCGTTGCCAATCTCCAGGTGAGGGCTGGAGACCACTCAAAATTACAACTGTTCTTTAGGTAGCAGAGATCAGTTCCTCTGGAGGAAATGGTGGACTCAGTGTCATTATACCCTGCTGAGGTCGCCACAGCCAATTGACACTGAGTGTCCAAGGCCGGGGCACCCGCCCAGAGCCTCTTTCTAGAGGTCGTTGTATTTATTTCCACAACGGGCCTTTTTCCTAGTTTCATAATAATTACCAAATGGCAGAAATATCAAGAACAGCAGAGGGAATGAAAGGATGCCTTATAACTTCTCATTTCCCAAAGAGATAGGGCACCTGCAAATTTCTTGAGGCTAGAGGCCAAGACTGCTATGCTGCTGTGGAAGGGAAATACGCCACAGTGACATGGTTAAAATGTCAGGGGATGAAGCTGCCTGTCTCCCATTTTGATGAGACTAAGATACAAACCAGGAAATGCCCAGGTCTCAATTTTGCTACAAGCTCATTAGCCTACCCAACTGTAATAGGTGTATATTACTGACCTTAACGGGGCTGGATTACTGAGATAATGTACCTGAAGTGTGTGGAACATTCAAAAGTGTCATCAAGTATGTAAATACTAAATCTTGCTATTAATATTAGGGTTATATGCCCAGAACAGACAGAGAAACAAGAACAAATATTCTGCTGCAACCCAGGTAGCTGCTTGCGCTTCATGAGGATCAGATACATAGCCATTGCAATCCCCACCATAAATTTGCTTCCTTGAACCTTCCCTGCTCCTCCACCCTCTGGAAAAAGAGTTGATGGTATTGGGCTGGAAGAAATGACACTGCAGTGCCAGAGAAAGAAGAGGTACTGGGAGAGCCAGTGTGGTGTAGTGGTTAAGAGTGCTTAACTAGGATCTGGGAGACCTGGGTTCAAATCCCCACTCATGCCATGGAAGCCTGCTAGGTGACCTTGGGACAGTCACACAGACTCAGCCTAACCTACCTCACAGGGCTGTTGTGAGGATAAAACGGATGAGAGGAGAACAACATAAGAAAGGTAGGGTACAAATGATATGAAGAAGAGGAGGAGGAGGAGATTGGGGAGGAGGAGCAATTTCTAAATAAAAAATCATTAGTCCTAATGGATGGTAAGACGATCAGATTTTCATCTCAACCTTCCCTCAAGGAACTTGGTGTAGCTTGCTTGATTCTCTCCTCCATTTCATCTTCACAACAACCCCATGAGGTAGCTCAGGCTGATAGAAAGAGTGGATGTAGCCCAAAATCACTCTGAGTTTCATGACTGAGCAGCCATCGGAACTAAGGTCTCCCCACTTCTAGCCTGACACCAACCACTACACTATGCTTACTCCCAGTGCTGTAAATACGTGCAGCACACAACACATTCCCAGTGTTTCTACTAAACGTACACAAGTGAAATACTTTTCCATTCCCAGAAACCTTCACAAAAGCAGCCTCAAGTGTTGCTCCCACACATAACTTAAATAAAATGGCTGCGCCACCATCCCAAGTGATTCTCTGACTATTAATAAACTGCACCTCATCTCAGATGCTCAAGATACAGGATCACTGAAACTTTGGCTCAATTTTCTTAGCTAACAAGCACCAACGTTCACATACCTTGATTTCCTCCCCATGGAACAAGTCAGCATCTTCTGGGCTGTCCATCAAGATCTTGGGCCTGTCCCCTTCCTTTCCAGAGCTGTCCCTCCGAGGAGTCTTGTGCCCTCCTTGGCGCTCCACTCCAGCACGTTCACTGCTTGTGTTGCCCATTTTAAGGTTCTGAAGAGAAAGGCAAATTACTGCTCCCTACTCCCTATGAAGGAGCTGCAGTGGCTCAAGTGGTTAAGACGCTGAACTGCAGGCTGTGGAAGGTTGGTAGTTCAACAGTTCGAGTGTGCCGCATGACGGAGTGAGCTCCCGTCTCTAGTTCCAGCTCCTGCCAACCTAGCAGTTCGAAAGCAAGAAATTGCAAGTAGATAAATAGGGACCACTTCGGTGGGAAGGTAACAGCGTTCCGTGCGCCTTGGAGTTTACTCATGCCGGCTACATGACCACGGAAACGTATTCGGACAGCGCTGGCTCTTCGGCTTTGAAACGGAGATGAGCACCGCAACCCTGGAGTCGGACTCGACTGGCTTTCGAGCAAGGGAACCTTTACCCCCTATGAAGTGCTGATACAACCAGGCGCCATAGAACCACTACAGGCAGCAACTGGCCCTGCCCATAGACTCAGACTTGATTTAAATGTAATGCTGACTGAAGCAAAAGTACTCACCTGTGACACCTGGAAGAGCATCTCACTTAACACAGGCTGCCGCTACATGTGCTAAGCAACTAGGCTGGTGCAAAGTCCCATAGGTGAGCTCTTCTGCTTGAACTAGCAATATATTTAAAATAATGCCTTGCAAGCTAACAAACACTGACATGGACAATAAGGAAAAGAACTAAAAGATTGACAGGTATGACTTTGCAACTAGCAATGAACCAGGCGAAGATTTCAAAAATATATATCCCAGACTGATTAACACAGAAGGAATTCACAGTAACAACAAAAGTTCAGCAGAGAAATGCATAAATAAAAATGCTCAGATTTTTAAAAGATGAATAAAACATAAGGGAGGTCTGCTTCAATAGTAACATTTGCATCCGTTATACTAATTAAGCATAAATCACTGTTGCTGGTCTCGTCCCACATAAAACGATTCAAGTCAAACTCAACAGCCGTGGCCAAGCAGCTACTAGAAGGAAGGAGCTCTTTAGCATATGCCCAAGAACCATACCCTGCATGCTAGTTTTAGCAGGTAGTTGAAAACGCCTTGAACACTGGTACAGCAAACACACTTCTCTCTTCCAAATAGCCACCTCTTTGTCCCACAAAAGAGCCAACTCCCCAAACTGCATCCTCCTCTACCATAACCAACAGACCTGGGATGGAACTGGCTAAGCATGTAACCAGGAAAACACTAGTTGGAGGGAAGGAAAGGAAACAGGTTTAGCCACTACTCCAACTGTGTCCCTAGTTCACCCCTTTACTTTCTCCCAAATAACTGTTGAAGCTGAGGGCCCCCCTACCTGGCCCTCATGAATAGGGATCCCACAAAACGTATGGTGCCACATACTGCTATGGGCCAAGAACTCTTGCAATACACAAACCTTCACTCCACACACATCCTGTCACTGAAAAAGTTCTTTAGCCAGAAGGTGATGCAAAGAACTCTGATGTTTTCCACATCAAAGTAATATCTTTCAGCTTCTCAGAATAGCTTACGGTAAGTATTATGAACATATGAAGCTGCTTTATACTGAATCTGACCCTTGGTCCATCAAGGTCAGTATTGTCTACTCAGACTGGCAGTGGCTCTCCAGGGTCTCCAGACAGAGGTCTTGCACATCACCTACTGCCAGATTCCTTTTTAAACTGGAGATGCTGAGGATGGAACCCAGGACATTTTGCATTCCAAGCAGAGGCTCTACCACTGAGCCACAGAACTGCTGAATTACTACCCCTTTCCATGTTTAGCAAGGCAACGGAGTCTGTATTTATTACAGGTGAAAGGTGGGCAACTTTCCAAGTCATCAGAAAATACTGTAAATTCTGAAAAACCAGGCTTACTTAGGCTATAAATTAATTTCAAATTCCTACATACCTAGTTAACCTCCCTTATGCACGACAGGGTCCTGCTTCCCAGGATAGTTCAAATTGCAAAAAATATACAAATTTATCTCTGCCATCCTAAGCAGCATTACAGCCATCAAAGCCCACTGATTTTAGAAGGGTGTGCCTCTGCAAGTTATTCCCGACACTCAGCAGGCTGATGGGGAAGGGGTCCCTCTTTCCTTTGACTGTGCTACTGATAGAACACTTGATGGTCTAGTGGCTATCAGGTGTTATATACATTCTAGAAATCATACAAGAACCGTAACTGGGGTGATCACCAGGGAGTCAAAGCTGGGGACGAACTGAAGACACAGATCGGGCTGCTGTTCTTGGTGGTTAAATTTTACAGCTGAACTTCTGATAAGAACGGGGGGGGGGGGCCCTGCTGAATCAACACCACCAATTTCCATCAGTGGCCAGCCAGATGCCTCCAAGGCATGGCCTTCCCATATTGTTTGCCTCCAGCACCTGGTGCTTAGAAGTAGAGTGCCTCTGTACATGGAGGTCTCATTTAATTATCATGGCTAGCAACAGTTGACAAACACAGCCTGCATTATTTTAACGAATCTTTTTATTTTTAATGTTATTTTTAAAAGCCATTTTAAGCTAGTGTTCATCACCACATCCTGGGAAAAGGGCTGCTATTATTAAATTATGGACTGCACACAGAATTATGCACTCCAAACATATCTTATTCCATCCTTCCCACACTATTTCATCCTTATTGCCCTGTGAGACAGCATGAGCTGAAGGAAGGGAAATGCCCCAAAATCACCCAGTCTGATGGACAAGCAAAGATTAATCTACGAAGTCTACTTTATTAGACAATTCTAAGTTCTGGCATTTGGGGGGAGGGGTTTTCCATCACCTCCTCCCTTGATCATTGCAAATCACACAGTTCCAGCACATCATCCTAGGCTATTTTGTCTTTATTTCCCCAGGCTTTTAAACTGCAGTTTTAAGCTCCCCTAGAGAATGTAGTTTTATCTGTGCTTTCCTGCCAGCATTTGTTTTTAACATCGTCTGCTGGTTTTAATTCTGCTTTTTAGACTCGAATTCAATAAAATTTTACAGAGCTTTAATCGGCTCTTGCTTTTCTTTTTTTATCATATCATCATACACCATCTTCAGCAATTTCGTTTTGAAAGTGCATAAATAAACAAGGTGGCCGACAGGGAGTGCCGGCCCTCCTCTCTCAGCGTCAAGCTCAATGACCTTGGGCCAGCGATTTTTTCAACTTAACCTACGTCACGGGATTGTCGTGAAAGTAAAAGAGAGAAGGGAGAGAACCATCTAAACTGCCCTGAACTCCTTGAAGAAAAAAAATAGGATAGAACGGGACAGGTGATAAAACAGATCGAGGACACCTCTTTCACACCTTGCGTTTAACCTCTCATTACGCGTGGGGGGAGGGACGACTGAGCTGAGAATATTTGCTAGAAGACTGCGTGCGGTCATGGAGAAAATACACTCTGCACATGCTCAAGAGCACTCTTGGGGTGCCTTAAACGGATGCAGTGGCTAACCGCGCCCTTTTCGCTGAGAAAGGCTCCGGGTTTCAGCGCAAGATTGTACCAACTTACTACCCTCCCTTACCAACTCTACGTCAGGAACCGCAGCCCCTAACCCCAGCGCCCCCTCACCGGCGAAGTTTCTTCTTTTTCAAAGCCACAGCCGCACTTCCGCCTCCCGGGCTGCCTCAGGCGCCAATTTCACTTCCGGTGGACCCCCCTCGCCACAATAGACTTCCGGCCTCTGGTACACATGCGCAGATTGAGGTGGTGGGATGGGCGTGGCGAGCGTCGTAGCCGGCCGGGTTTAAAGGGGTCGCCATCCACTTGCCATTGCTGCTTCAAAAGGTTTATTATTTATTATTTTTTTTAATAATGGGAATTCCTTCCTCGTCGCCATCTCATTTTCTGACCCGAAAAAATACGCACAAAATAATCTCAGATTTATGTGGGGAATTTTATCAGAGGAAAATGCACTCTACACATGCTCGAAGGCAAGCCTCTCTCAGAACAAACGTACGCCTTTTTACTCGTATGTTAGACCAAATGTTAGACTCGTATGTTAGACCAATTCAAGGGGATTTGCTGGCACTGTAAAAGAAGATTGCAGTTTACTTAGGAACTGATTATTTCAGGGCTGGCAAGCTGGATCTAAGGAATGGACTGCACGCGTAGTTGATCTGAAGCGGCCCCGGGGAGAAGACTTAAAGTCCACCTTCCCTTCGCTCCGCGCTCCCGATCCATATTAGGGCGAATCATCATCATCATTAAAAAAAACACGTTGATTTCTGTTCTAGCTGATCATTCTTAACGTTGAAAGGTTGCACAAAAGTTTGTTTTAATTCTCAGTGTTATTTTATGTTGTCTTGAGATGTATTTGTGCTGTTTTGCTTTTTAGGATATTTTTGGAATTACATATTTATGAATATATAAATTGGATGTGCTGTTTTGCATGAGATCTTTGTTTTTAAAATGCCCAATGAGAAATAAGGTACAGATATGGAGATCTCAGCATTGTAGCTGGTCAGGGTTTTCCTTCTCCTGACCAGCCTTACCTGCATCTGCCTGAAAAACAAGCAATCAGGGCATTTTCGTTCCCCACAGTGCCTGTCGTCCCTGCATTTTTAACTACTAAACGAGAGGTGGAAATTAAACTGGAGAAGCTTCTCCCTGCCTAGAGAGAGTAGTGGATAATTTTTTTAATGTATTTTCATTTTTGCTGCACTGCATTTCTGCTGATGTTTACAGTCTAAAAGAAGACCATACCACTGGAAAGAAAAACTGCAGTTGCTGAATTTCTGCATGAGTCTTAATATTGCCAACTCCAGGTCGCGAAGTTTCTGAGGTTTTGGGGTTCCCCTTCCTACCGTAAGGAGCTGCGGTGGCTCAAGTGGTTAAGACGCTGAACTGCAGGCTGTGGAAGGTCAGTAGTTCAGCAGTTCGAGACCTGAGTGTGCCGCATGATGGAGTGAGCTCCCTTCTCTAGTTCCAGCTCCTGCCAACCTAGCAGTTCGAAAGCAAGAAATTGCAAGTAGATTAATAGGTACCACTTCGGTGGGAAGGTAACAGCGTTCCGTGCATCTTGGTGTTTAGTCATGCCGGCCACATGACCACGGAAACGTCTTCGGACAGTGCTGGCTCTTCGGCTTTGAAACGGAGATGAGCACCGCAATCCCTAGAGTCGGATTCGACTGGCTTTCGAGCAAGGGAACCTTTACCTTTACTTCCCTACCGTAACAGGTGGAACGTGGGATGGAACTCAGCAGGGTGTAAAGCCAGAGAGTCCACCCTTCAAAGCAGTCATTTTCTCCAGCGGAACTGATCTCTGCCATCTAAGGATCAGTTGTAATTCCAGTAGATCTCCAGGCCCCACCTGGAGACCGGCAACCCTACTTAAAACTGTTAAAGGCATAAGACCCCTTGCTGGGGGGGGGGGGGGGGGGAGAATAGTGATAGACCAGAATAGGGGAAAACTTCTTTGAATTAGACTATTGTGTACAGTTACCCATTTTTTCTGTGTTAAAGGCTCCGATTTTTAATTATTATTGTCTTGTTGTTTTAAACAGGATGACCAGTGACTTAGCAGAGAAGCCAAACCACAACAAAGAGGTCATGGGGGGGGGGGGGAGGAAAGAGGGAAGAGGTCCCCAGGGTCAGACCTTTGGGACCACGTAAACCATTGCTGTATTCAACAACCCCACATTGCCCCAGACTTGCAAACCAATACCCCGTAGATCATGGTATGGAAGTTGCGGATCATATTTTAAAGACAAGCTATTCCTCCTCCTCTGTCAGTCTTCCGTTGCCTTCGTTTTACAGCTTCCCAAGCATCCAGATGATATTTCACCCCTTAAATGCCTTCCTGACCAGCCAGATGGGAGCACCTGCACAGAGCAGGAAATGAGGAGGGTGACTGTCTTCTCCAGCAGAGGCTCCTTCCTGTTGGTGTCTGCAGTAGATTTTGGCATTCAGCCACTTAGGATATCATTTGTTGTTCAGTTGCACAGTCAAGTCTGACTCTTCCCAACCCCATGGACCAGATCACGCCAGGCCTTCCTGTCTTCCACCGTCCTCTGAAGTTTGCTCAATTTCAGGTTCGTTGCCATCTATGACACTGTCTAACCATCTCATCCTTTGCTGTCCCCGTCTTCTTTGACCTTCAGTCTTTCCCAGTACACATACTCTAATCTGACTGTAATCTGGGAGAACCAGGTTTGATTTCCCACTCCTCCTCCACTTGCAGTTGCTGGATGACCTTGGGCAAGCCATAGTTCTGTCATATTATTTTATATATATTAGGAGCTTCCAAAGTTGTTCTTTTTGGACAGACATGTCCCACGCCCTCTGCTGTGCCTAAAGACGAGAGGAAACTTGCAGATAGGTGCGCTTGTTGGAGTATTCCGTCTAAGCCTGGCCTGAGATAGAGAGTGCCATGCTAAACAGAGTTTTACCCTTCTAATGCCTCTTGATTTACAAACTCTACGGGGTCACTTGACTTACAAACCAGTAAGCCAGTTTGGTGTGTGAGAGCCAGTTTCATGTAGTGGTCAAGTGCACAGACTCTAATCTGGGAGAACCGGGTTTGATTCCCCACTCCTCCACTTGCACCTGCTGGATGACCTTGGGCAAGCCATAGTCCTGGCACAGCTGTTCTTGAAAAAGAGCAGTTTCTGTCAGAGCTCTCTCAGCCCCACCTACCTCACAGTTTCTGTTGTGGGGAGGGGAAGAGAAAGGAGTTTGTAAGCGGCTCTAAAACTCCCAAGTGAAGGGCGGGGTATCAATCCAGTCTCTTCTTCTTTTACGGGATCACTGTAAATCAGATGCAGCTTGGCGGCACTTTCCACTACCACCAGGTCCTTTGAAAGTGTAACTCTGTTTAGGATTGCACTGTCAGTGGCACCCGGGAAAGGAGCCTCTTCAGCATTTTTTGGTTGCATTGGCAGCCCGTTTTACGGTTTTGTTGCATGGCTTGCATGCATTTTACCCCAGGCAAAAAGTGAAGCTGTGTTAATGTGAGTTAGCTACTTAAGAGTTCCACGAGGTTCTGTTATTTTGATGGTATTGATGATACCACAGGTGCATGACTCACGGGCCATGTGTTGAACGGGCATGATGCCTACACAGGTGAGCACTGCCCACTTTACAAGTACAAATTAACTCTTTGCACTCCTTGTTCCAGCTGCTGAGTGGATAGTTCAGTAGTTAGCCCCTTAACAGACTCCTCCAGGCACTCACTGTAGTCCCTGTCCAGAGACAGCACCTCTGACGCCATAGAGTGTTGGAGCTGGAAGGGACACTGGAGATCATGCAGTCTGACTCCCTGATAGATGCAGCAATACATGACTACAGCATCCTTACCAGCTGCCCAGGCTAGCCCAATCTTATCAGATCTTGGAAGCAAAGCAGGGTTAGGATGGGCGACTTCCAAGGAATACAAGGGACCTGACACAGAGGCAGGGAATGGCAAACCACCTCTGAAAGGTCTCTTGCCTCAAAAACAAGTCCAGCTCGCCATCTAGTGGTGGATACTGCTAAAGAGCTAGAACCATATTAGGATCTCCTGGCTATACAACCCACAATGCCTAGGGTTGCCAAGTCTGATTTGGAAAATACCTGGAGACTTTGGGGGTGGAGCCAGGAGAGGGGCGGGGTTTGGGGAGGGGAGGGGCCTCAGCACAGTACAATGCCATTGAGTTCACCCTGCAAAGCAGCCATTTTCTCCAGGGGAACTGATCTCTTTCGGCTGGGGATCAGTTGTAAAAGCGGGAGATCCCCAGGCCCCACCTGGAGGCTGGCAACCCTAACAATGCCATACGATAATTATTATTAATTACTGGCCATGCAGCCACCGGTTGTAGACTCCCCGTGATTTCCATAAGTTATATATGCAACAGTATTCTTGCAGCACAATAAACTACTTGAAGAAGTTAACAGTGACACATCTATTTTACTATTAACATTACCTGTAAATCCCTTTAACCAGATTGGAGTTTCACAGGACGTGCTGCAACCATTGGCAATGCAAACTATTTCTCAATTCCCTACTTGTGTGCATTGAACTCTGGGTAGGGCTGTGTTCAAGTTGCAGAAATGCAGAAAAGCTATGTAATGTAGCAGATTTAGTCTGCTAAGGAAATTAGCTCATTTTAATTTGAAGGAAGTTTCTAGCCTGTAGGACTGTGGGAATCTCCTGAGGGAATCTCTGAAGCCAGAGATGTTGCTGGGTTACATTCCCAGTGGTCAAACTGTGGTGCTTTAATTATTTCTATAGCTCTTGCCCCTCCCCAAGACCACAGAAGCAGAATAAATGATGCAAAATAAGAGACATTGGGCACTTTTGCTTAAATTTAATAACGTGCAGGTAGCAGCGTTCAACTCTCCTTTTTTGCAGAATTTTGATTTTATTTCATTTTATTTTGTAGAATGGCATATATGTATTCTATGATGACCAACTTTTTGAAAAATCAGAAATAAATATTCTCTGGAAGAAATATAGCATGTGATTGAATTCAGGTTAGAGAGACCAGTTCCAATAACCTTTATTGGCATACAATAACTCTATGAAAGGAATAGCAGTACAAATCAATCCATATATCAACAAAGGAAAACAGTCAGGGTACAGCAGTTTGTAGCACGGTATATAATAAAGATAATAGAACAGAATGATAAAAATTTGGAACAGTAATCTCGAATATTGCAGTAATTAAAACAGT